TGCTGCCGGGTTGGTCCCGCAGCCCCCGGGCAGCGCTGCGAGACCAACCCAGCAGCACCCCAGCTGCTCTGCTCCCAGCTTCCCCGTTTCAGCTGCTGGTCAGTTTCAGCAGCAGCTGAATGGGGGAAGCCTGTCCGGCTGCCCCAGCACTTCCGGGTTCCTGATGGTGCCGGACCATCAGGAGTCCCGGAGCATTGGATGCCGGACTGATGGAGTTTTACTGTATATGCTAACATCCGTACTAAATATATACATCTGTATTATGCCAAAGTAAATGCTTCTCTGACTCTGAGGCCACAGTATTTTTATAAGGGTTTCTGTTTACCACTCTTTTGTGTAATTGCATGCTAAATAGATGTGTGTGGTCCATACAATGTGTTTTTTTATATTTGACAAAGTCAGATTACCAATTAATCAAACAAATTATAATTAAAAATGTTCACATTACCAGAAATTATACTTTCTGCTATTTTATAATTTTGGGGTTTAAGTGGATCCAGATTTTAAAGAGACGTTAGGCCAGGAAAAGGAAAACAAATTAAGTAACTCTCTTAAACCAAAAAATACAAAACCAGAACAAACTCTCCAAACTTAAATGTCCTATTCTAGTTGTCCTATTCTAGGGTTGCAAAGCATTTGAAATACAGTCCCTAAACATGAAATCCTGCTACTTTCAGACTATATTTGAGTAAATTAGTTTTTTGGTTTATGACTAATAATAACGTTTTTAGAAGACAATTTAAAAACCCCTAAACACTGGCATTTCCAGGGTATAGGTTATGTTGGCATTTGTCTTCTAAGCAGATAGGCTATTGTAGCTATAACAACAAGTATATACTTTAGGGTCATCTTCCCATATGTCCATTTCCTGGTGTGTGAAGTATTCTGTACTACATCAAGAATTAGTAAACAAACTGAGCTAGTCACCGAAGTGAGAATTTGTGTCTTCAAGCTCTGAGAAATAGCAAAGGGTTTGATAATGGATGACTGTCTAGCCTTGATGATTGTGACAAAATATACATCTTTCTTGTTCCATTGCATTTCTAGTTAAGGTTGAATAAGCTCAGAGAACAGTAGTTCTCAGCATTTTCATTCTTTGACCTCTTTGTAAGGAAGAGAGAATCTTGTGAACAACAGATCTTATGATTCTCTTTGTATGAGAGAAGGGTACTGAGGGTACTAAGATAGACAAGAGTGAAGTATTTTACACACCAAGTTTAATTCCACGGAGTTTGGTTGCATAAACTACATTTCTGAAAGGAAATCTGTCAGTTGGTTGTTTCAGGTGAATGAAGCGAAAAACCAGTGCCATATATAGATCTTGAGCTTTTGCTCCCTGTTTGACAATTTCAGATAATTTCTTTAGCAAAAAAAGCTTTTCAATGGATGAATCGACTGGTCACTTAAGAAATCAAAACATAATAGCATACGTAGTTACCTGCTCCCCATTCTGCAAGTTACAAAATTATAAAAAGAAGAAAAGTATGAGCAGATTTAATCAAATTTGGTTAGTTTAGTAAAATAATTAGTTCAAACACCTTGCATTATGTAGTTTGATTTCTTCATCCTATGCGGATAAAACTCCCATGTGCATTTATGTGAATTACTTGTTCATGCTGAATAGCGAATGTACTGCTGATATATGATCATTCGTTCCCTAAGATTTTGAAAATCTCAGATAAACCATTGACTCTCTCATAATTACCTTTTCACATTTCAGCATATCAATACATACATTTTACCAACTGACAGTGGTTCATAATTGCTGTCCTTATATCTGTCTATAACATTGTGCACTGGGAATATCTATGTACATGGTAGCGATTGCACTTGCAACTTGATCAGCTTTTCAGGAACAATGATGAAAAAAATACAAGCAGTAGACAATGTGTGAAAAGATTTTCAAAGAATCAAACTTTTAAAAATCTTGTATATTGAACTATGTCTGTGACTAAGGTTGGCAAAGACAAACAGATGTTCCTGAACCAGAGAGGCCAGGTATATGGTGGTCTGGCGCTGGGGCAGAAGTGTGAAAGAGAGGGCCGAGACTCAGCCAGGGTGTCAAGCGGGGGGCAGCATCAGGGAGTTTTGGCCCCATTTACTGGGCAGTAGTGAGGGGCCAACAGCGGCTGTGGAGCTCCAGCCCCGGCCTCAGCTCCAGAAGTCATGGCCAGCCAGGCAGCAGCGGGGCTGGCCTGAAGCCCTAGCCATGGAGCAGCACTTCAGCGTGGGCCATGAGAGAAGGGACCTCCCTTTGTCTGACACAGCCCCTCAGTCAGCACTGGTCAAGTTTGGAGGCTGCTGGACTAGGGAGGTCCAACCTGTAGATTGCGATAGGCATGACATTGAAATAGTATCCCTCCTAGAGCTGGAAAGTTTACAAACTTTCCAACAAACTTTTCTCACTGACATGATTGCAGTTATTCATTATAGCATACGGGGAGCTGTGCCTTTAGCTTGCTACGCTCGCCTACCCCGTCTCTCTGGCCACTCTCACTTTGTGGAGAGAGCCTGTTGACGCTGATGATGCGATGATGTCATTCTGTCGCCTGGCAGAAACACCCTATCGTCTGGCAGGAAAAACTTTTTTATATACATAGAGAGATTATTTCACATTCCTGTTTGCTGCTAGCTGTTCTTTGAGAGTCTGAATGGTTTGATGGATCTCCTATCTAAGCCCTATTTGACGATTGAATTACTTTGTGTTGCACTCACTGCATTACCTTTCAGGTATGAATCAATTCATTTTAGGTATTGATACAAGACTTGTGGGGCAATCTAGACCAAAGAGCAGTGGACACAACTTAACCTGCAACCTTGGGTTCCTTACAATGCTCTCTTGCTGTAGCTCCCCACTAGAATGCTCACACCCAGCCTACAAGCATGCATATTACACCCTGAAGGGTCTGTGTGTTAGACAGCCCTGGTTAAGCAGCTCTGACCACAAAAGACAATCGACAGCTCTACTCTGGCCTGAGTTACAACCTGCAAGGTGACCCCAACATACTCTTAGTCCTAAATTTTCCCCAAACCACGTGCACTGTACAGTCTGTCGGTCTCCTGGACAGCCGAGAGAAATAATACATTTCATTTGTTCTTGTCAAGTGACAAAAAGCACATCGCAGCTCATTAACTGGGGTAAACACATTCTTCCCTTTAAAAACAGTACTGAGTTTGTTTATAATCAAGATAAAACAAATTCATTTGCAGTAGAACATAGACTAAGTGATGCCGATTAAAAGGACTAATGATAAGGTTACAATTAAATAAATGCGAAAACATGAATCTAAAAATCTAAAATCTAAACACGGTACACGCTTTGTTCAAGATAGTTTCTCTGACCAATCCTTCCCAACTATGGCTGGTTTTTCTCAGTCAGGGCCTTTCACAGAAGGTGAAAGATCTTTGCCAAAGCATGCTTTTCACCAATGTTCAGGTCCCAGGGACTTCAAACCACGTCCCCTTAGCTGAAGGACCCATCTTTTTCAGCCTGCAAGAGCTCTGTTCCCTTGCCTGACACGTGTGGGCAAGGTGTAAGCCCTTCAAATAGAAGCAGTTGAAA